TGGCTGGGGAAGTTTCATAATCATGGAGTAAGGTGAAGGAGGAGCAAAGTCACATCTTGCGTGGTGGCAGACAAGAGGAAGTGCTGAGCCAAAGGGGGAAAAGCCCCTTATAAAACCATTAGATCTTGTGAAAACTCACTCACTGTTGTGAGAACAGCATGAGGGTAACTGCCTCCATGAGTAAATTACCTCCCACCAGGTCCCTTTCATGACACATGGAGATTATGGGAACTAAAATTCAAGATGAGATTTGGGTGGGGACATAGCCAAACCCTATCAATTATGTACTTAAAAAAACTATCATCCAGTTCAATACCCTTTCAGTAGATATAGGTTATTAAGCCATTGATTTTAAATATTATATTTTCTATTTCTAGAATGCTAGTTGGTTCGTTGTCACCTCTGGTCAATTTTGATAATTATTCTTTTCTAGTTCTTTCATCTTATTTATCACATATATATTATATTCTATAGCTGACCATTTCAATATATGAAATTTTTGTGAGTTTTATTCTTTTGTATTTTTATTTACTAATTCTTGTTCATGGTGGGATGTTTCCTTTCACATTCAATAATTTATAATTTTGAATTTGTATTTCTTAGAGCTTCATCTGCTGTAATATTTGGAGGCCTGAGTTGAAGGTGTACTTTTACAGAGGGGATTTATATCTGCTTTTTTCTAAGCATTTATATCTGCCTGTATTACTAGAAACCCGGGACCACTTGATTCTGCATTTTGGATGAAGATCTGGAGTTCATAGAAATTGTACAATTTTGCCTTAAACTTACCATATAAGTGTAGAATTGTGGTTAGAAATTCTTAGGGGGATTTACTTTTTTCACTTATCTACAACTAAGACCTAGTTAGACATCCTTTCCCCTTCTGTGCAATGTGTTGTTGTTGTTGTTTTAATTTTCACTGAGGATGTTGTTCTTTAGAGGTTTTAGAGTTTTGCAGGGGTCCCTCATCTAAGCTTTCAGCTTGCTTGGACTTCAGACTGTCTTCTGCCCCACTGCCACTCACACCTTGAGTGGCTGGTTAAAGTCCAGGTCCTAGTCTAGCATGGGTTGACAGATGCCCTGGAACAAATACCTGTTCCAAAGCTAACCCCTGGGGTTCATACTTTCTGTCCTCCCCTTTCGCTGAGGCTATGTGGAATTCTATTTCTTTCCCCTCACAATCCTGAATTAAAATATTCTTCAGTTTGTTTTCAGAATGAACCGAAGCACGCTATATCAGGAAGGATTTTTCTGAAATCAAGTCCAAAATTTTGTGAAAAGTGTAAGGGAATCAAAGTAGTAATCAGAAGCCTGGTTGAAAAACAGCATGAGAATGAGCAAAATTAGATTATTTCAAGAAGTATTTTTAAGGAAGGGAAAAAATAAAATGTTCAAGCCCCACATTGAAATATTTTCTTAAGAGCCGAATCAGTTTCCAGTTTTTCATTTCCTTCAAAATTGTGCTGTATATTTAAAAATTATTTTTTTGTTTCCATTTTTTCAGTATCTACATATGCCAGTCAGATTATAATTCAAGTGCATTCCAATCATTCCATCTTGAAGATACATTCAGATCACATTGATATTCAGTGTTCCTCAAACCTCCTTAATAATGTACTTATCTACTTTAGATTGGGTTAATTATATAATAGACTTTTATTAAAGAGCTTTGGTCAGGTGCAGTGGCTCATGCCTGTGAGCCCAGCACTTTGGGAGGCTGACGTGGGTGGATCATTTGAGGTCAGGAGTTCAAGACCAGCCTGGTCAACATAGTGAAACCCCATCTCTACTAAACGTACAAAAATCAGCTGGGCATGGTGGTGCATGCCTTAATCTAAGCTACTTTGGAAGCTGAGGCAGGAAGATTGCTTGCACCGGGGAGATGGAGGTTGCAGTGAGCCGAGATCATGCCACAGCACTCCAGCCTGGGCGACAGAGCAAGACTCATCTCACAAAAAAAAAAAAAAAAAAAAAAGTTTTTACGTTGTATGTTATTTCATAGTGATATTTCTATTTCAGGTTGAGATTAGAATCCCACATTAGAGATCACATTTAGTATAGGGTGACAAAATTGCTACCTTGATACTATTCAATTGAAAACACGCGCACACACACACACACACACACACACACACACACACACATGACCTACTGATACTTGTTAGATTCTTGAGAGAAGAAGAAAAAGAATGAAAAAAAAAAAAAAAGAGACAACTAACATTTGTGTAGCTGAAAAAGCATCGTCTTTGGAATCTTCCTTGAGCTTCCTCAAGGCAGAATCAATCTCATCCTGCACTACTCACAAAATGTCCTAGTTTTTCATCCTGTGTTCTTCCCTCCTTCCACTTTTTGCCCTCAAAAGAATTCCTAAACATCTGTATTTTCAAAGTACTTTGCTAGGCATTGGGGATACAATGGTGAAAAAATAGATGTGGCCTACATTTCCACTGAACTTACAGTTTATTATGGGAACTAGACAGTTACATAAAATTGTAATGTGGTATTATGAGTGCTGTGATAAGGAAAATATAGATTAATGTGGAACATCCAGGAAAAACACTAAACTTCAGGGGCCAGGGATGTCTTTATAAATGCAATTATTTTAAGCTAAGATTCGAGATACAGTACGTGTTCATGGTTCTGAAAGCATACTGTTTAGACCTACAGAATCACAGGGGAATTTGTTAGAAATGGAAATTCTAGGGCCTAATCTCAGGCTACTGAATCAGAAACTCTGGGGATAGGGCCCAGAAATGTGTTTTTAAACTATCTCAGCAGGTGATTCTTATTCATGCTGAAAATTAACTAGTGGCATATCTATATGGCTAGATTAAGAGTGCTAGGAGTTAGATCCTGCCAGGCAGAGAGACCAGCCTTTGAGACTCCCTGTGGAAGAAAGCAATATGAAATGATTATGAAAGAGTTCAGTATGCCTGGAGCATAGGGTATGAGGTTTGGAAGAGGGTTGTGATGGGCAAAGGATGGGATGGAGAGGAAAGCAGGGAGAAAAGATCATCTGGGTTTGTTAAGCCACATTAAATTTTTTTTTGCTTTTTAATTTTACTTTTAGTTGCATGTAATAATTGTACATATTTAGGGATACAGAGTGATATTTCAATACATGAAATATAGTATGTAATGACAGGGTAATTAGCATATCTATCACTTCAAACATTTGTCATTTCTTTGTGTTGGGAACATTCAAAAATCCTCTCTTCCAGTAATTGAAAATATATAATCCATTATCATTAACTATCATCACCCTACTAAATAATACTAGGACTTCTTCCTCCTATATAGCTGTAATTTTGTAGTCATTCACCCTATCCTTCTCTCCCTGATCCCCTGCCCAGCCTCTCATAACCATAATATTACTCTCTACTTCTATGGGCCCAACATTTTTAGCTCACACATATGTGAGAACATGTGGTATTTATCCTTCAGTTCCTGACTTATTTCACTTAACATAATATTCTCCAGGCCCATCCATGTTGCTGTGAATGACAGGATTTTGTTCTTTTTTATGGCTACATTAAATTGTTTAGATTTCGTTTATCATAAATGTTTACAGACAGCCCCCAACTTACAATGATTTAATTTAACAATTTCTCAGCTTTAAAATGGTGTGAAACTGTTGCAATTTTGATATGCTTCAAATTTTGAATCTTGATGTTTTCCCAGGCTAGCGATATGCGGTATATGAGATAGTCAATGCTTTATCATAAAATAGGCTTTGTGTTAAATGGTTTTGCCCAACTCTAAGTTAATGTAAGTGTTCTGAGCATATTTAAAGTAGGCTAGTCTATGCTATGATGTTTGGTAGGTTAAGTGTGTTTAAATTCATTTTCTTTTTTTTTTTTTTTTTTGAGATGGATTCTCACTCTGTCACCTAGGCTGGAGTGCAGTGGTGCGATCTCAGCTTACTGCAACCTCCACCTTCCTGGTTCAAGCAATTCCCCTGTCTCAGCCTCCTGAGTAGCTGGGATTACAGGTGCCCACCACCATGTCTGGCTAATTTTTTTCTATTTTTAGTAGAGGTGGGGTTTTACCATGTTGGTCAGACTGGTCCTGAACTCCTGGCTTCAGGTGATCCACCCACCTTGGCCTCCCAGAGTGCTGGGATTACAGGCATGAGCCATTGCGCCTGGCCTAAATGCATTTTCAACTTATTGGATACTCAATTTATGGTGGCTTTATCAGGAGGTAACCCTACTGGAAGTCAGGGAGCATCTGTGTTTATAAATCTGTCTCTTCAAATAGAATGTGAATATATGAGGGCCAGGATGATATTTCCATACCTCAGAATATCCTTCAGCTACTCTTGGCCTATAATTGGTGTTTAATAAATGCATGCTGATTAAATGAGCTTCTTGCATAGTCACAAAAGCCTTGTGAGGTGGGCATTACTTCTCTTATTTTATACTTAAGGAGAGCTAAAGCTAAGAGAAGGTGACATACTAACGTTAACAAAGTCAAATGGCTATTTATTTATTTATTTATTTTTGAAATGGAGTCTCTGTCACCCAGGTTGGAGTGCAGTGGCATGATCTTGGCTCACTGCAATCTCTGCCTCCTGAGTTCAAACGATTCTCCTGCCTCAGCCTCCTGAGTAGCTGGGATTACAGGCATGTACCACCACGCGTGGCTAATTTTTGTATTTTTAGTAGAGAAGATGGGGTTTTGCCATGTTGGCCAGGCTGGTCTCGAACTCCTGACCTCAGGTGATCCATCTGCCTCAGCCTCCCAAAGTGTTGGGATTACAGACGTGAGTCGCTGCACCTGGCCCAAATTTCTATTTAGAAGCAGAGGTGTTTTATAATCCCCAAGACAATGGATTTTTCTTTTAGAATCTCTTCTTTATTCCATGTTACCTTTCTGTTAGGGAGGGCTGAGAGTACAGAAAATATATATGAATATATAAAATGTGAGCATTTTTTTAAAACCTGTAAGCATTCCAAATACAACCGTGCTTTCTTTTTTCTTACTTTTTTTTTTTCCAGACAGAAAAGGGGAGTGCACTTCATGAAGCAGCTTTGTTTGGAAAGGTGGATGTTGTACGAGTTCTGTTAGAAACAGGTAACTATTGTGATTCTGCATGGAGCTTATCCTGCCAGATACCATTTCTATTTTGGGAATAGACAAAGGAAAATAACACAGTTTTCTTCACAAATCACCCTCTTGTCTTTACTCTAAAATGCAGATATGTATTCATATTATGTAGAACTGAGCTTCAGTATTTAGATAACATTGATATCAATGTGCAACTTCCTTTTTGCAATACATGTTTTAAGTACAAACTTCTTAGTTATTACAATTTTATGCATTTAAGTACTTTAGAGATAAACTGCCAAAAGAAAAAGGAGATTTCTGCCTTCTGTAAGAGAGAGGAATTGATCCTTGAGAAATTGTCACAATTGTTTGGTTTATTGAAGAACATAATAGTTTTTCTATGTTTTATATTGTGAACTACAGTAAACAGAGATTTGAGCTCCCTCTCCTTAAGGTAAATTGTCCTAGTTAGTTCATTAACTGAGTAACTATTTTTAGTAGGCTACAGAAATTTATTTTAAAGGGAACCTTTCAAAGGGAGTGTTTTGAAGGAACGATAAAGTTGGCTTATTTATTTTCACATGTACTTTCTGATTGAAACGAAATAAAACTAAAATTGAGGTCAGATTTGTTTGAAAGATCAAAAGGCATGGGTACAAATTCATGCTTGTAAACAACTGATGGAAATTTTTCATGTTATGGAATATAGTGTGTTTATTTTCCTCTAAAAAAATAAAATGAAAAACATTGGCAGACTATTGTATTGTGATTGTATTTGTACATAATTTAACAAAGTTAAAGTTTCATTTATATATAACTTTGTCATGCAGTGTGGTGTTACAACAAATGATTTGAGGAAACCACCTAAATATTAATATGTGCTGGTCACACATTCCTATGCAAATTTAAACATGTATTTAATAATCTTACAATGGACTAACATTTGGGACCAGATCCTGTAAATTGGCTTTTTTTTTTTTTTGCAATTATGTGTTTGGAAAATTCATAAAATTTTTAGGGCGGTGAAAGCTATTTGCTACGTTAAAATAAGTTCTTTCATACAATATATATTTCCACAACGAAAGTAATAACAGGTGTTTTAGTTACACACTTCAATAAGTTTGCTCATCAAGTGGATGATGAATGTGACTGACAAATACAATCTAGGATAAATAAATATCATGGAGTATTTGACCTTGTATTTGAATAAATTCTGTGTGGACAACAGTTCAAAATAATCATCCTTTTTCAACTCTATGAATATTCAAGTGTTCTAAGACTGTTCTTATGTTACTTACATGGTACATGATTATAATCTACTAAATATTTTTACCATATTATACAGAGAATATAAATCACATGACCATTATGCTTTAGGAATTCACATTCTAAATCAATAACATTTTTCAGTGTGATAGTGTGCTATTGAGTTAAGTAGTTATAACCCAAAGATATCATAGGGTTGGCCGGGCATGGTGGCTCACGCCTGTAATCCCAGCACTTTGGGAGGCCAAGGCGGGCAGATCACGAGGTCAGGAGATCAAGACCATCCTGGCTAACACAGTGAAACCCCATCTCTACTAAAAATACAAAAAAACAACAACAAAAAAATTAGTTGGGCGTGGTGGTGGGCACCTGTAGTCCCAGCTATTTGGGAGGCTGAGGCAGGAGAATGGCGTGAACCTGGGAGACGGAGCTTGAAGTGAGCCGAGATCATGCCACTGCACTGCAGCCTGGGCGACAGAGCAAGACTCCATCTCAAAAAAAAAAAAAAAAAAAAAAGATACCATAGGGTCCTGAAAAACAATCTTAAGCATTGGGTGGGTGCCCTTTGAGAGTTAACTCGTGATCAAGAATGTTCCTAATCTTTGGTAACAATAGGCCCCTGCCTTCTTTCTTGCTAAAATCTTGTGCGTGTGTGTCTGTGTGTGTGTGTGTGTGTAGAACTTAATTTTTTTTAAATCACTTTTAGTGCTTGGTCTGTATATGTTTGAAATTACAGCAGTTAGATACTGATAGTATCTTTTGAGAACACTTCAGTGGTGTATATCTAGTGAGTTTTTCTTTTTCTTTCAGGAATTGATGCCAACATAAAGGATAGCTTAGGTAGAACTGTCTTGGACATTCTGAAAGAACATCCATCTCAGAAATCTCTCCAGATTGCAACACTCTTACAAGGTAAACAGTATTGAATGATGGATGAGTTTGCCTTAAAGTTAAGATCAGGTTAAAACTGTTATAGTTTTCTTTTTGATTTTGAGTTAGTGTTTACTTTTGAACAAACTTACTAGTTTTATTTTTTATGGCAGACTTTTAAACTAAATAATAATATCTTTTAGTGTTTTGTTTTTGGTCTTTAACTACTCAGTAAGTATTTTAAAGAAGTTAAAGTGTTTATTTACTCATTTGATATTAGAAGTATTTTTAAAATTCATATATATGTAGTAAATATGTAGTTATGAGCTGGAAGTTAATAAAGCTATAAAGTAGTGATGATTAAGTATTATTTCACATTTGAATAATACTTTGGGTGTTTTCAGGGATTTGCTACTACTTTGGTTTCTATGACCCTATGAAGTAAGATAAGTCAGGCATTATTTTATTTTTGCACATAAGGGAAACTGAGGCTCTGAGAGATTTGATTTGTTCAAATTCATGTATCTTAAGTGGCAGAGCTTATATCTAAATGTTAGATTATCAATAATAACAAAAATTGTATTTAGCCAAAAGAATACAGATTATTTCCTTCCTAATCCAATGGTATAAAATAACTCAGTCTTACCAGCCTTAGTTTCTGGTAAAAGTCATTTAAGTACATTTGTTGTTAGTGGCAGTCATTAGCTCTGTTGAAGGTTTGACAACTATCTAGGTATGATTTTTGTTATTTGCAGTTTGCATACTTCACCACTTGAACTAAAACTTTTATTAAAAATTAGATTTAAATGCTTTCCTTTCCTGTTTGATGATTAGGCCTGTCATGTAGCATGTTACTTAAAAACCCCAGATGTTTTTTCTCTCCTTTAGCTCCTACCCTGTTCAGCAGTGATTATTTCCTACACTTGTTATGGATTGGCTGCAAGTATGACAGAGGAGGGTGGTGAGATAGGTTTTATTAGGTGTCAGTTGGGAAGCTGAAGAACAGCATTATTCTGCAGGAAGGTAAATGAATTAAAACCAAGTCAGGCAGGGAACATGTAGATACAGTAGTCAACAAAAGCCAAGGAGGAGTAAAAAGAATAGAAGCACAATATGCGGCCATTGTCCTCTCTTCTCTATTTCCAAAATATTTCAGGGAAGTTCAGGCCCCTACAATTTTCATATCAATAAAGAAGTTAATTGCAAGTCAAATGCATGCAGAGATGAATCAGAGAAGAATCCAATCATAGCCTTTTATATAAATTAAAATTAAATTGAATAAAAGCTAAAAAATAAGAGTGGCACATACTATTTTTATCAGTCTTCTCCCTCTAGACGCTTTGCATTTCATATTGGATTTTGAGTCTCACTGAATTTTGTTTTTGTGTGTGTGCGTGGTTTTTTTTTTTTTTTTTTTTTGAGAGGGAGTTTTGCTCTTGTTGCCCAGGCTGGAGTGCAGCAGTGCAATCTTGGCTCACTGCAATGTCCACCTCCTGGGTTCAAGTGATTCTTCTACCTCAGCCTCCCAAGTAGCTGGGATTATAGGCACTTGCCACCATGTCCGGCTACTTTTTGTATTTTTAGTAGAGAGGGGATTTTACCACATTGGCCAGTCTGGTCTTGAACTCCTGACCTCAGGTGATCCAGCCACCTTGGCCTCTTAAAGTGCTGGGATTACAGGCAGGAGCCACGGTGCCCAGCCTCTCACTGAACGTTTTTGTTTTTGAGACGGAGTCTTGCTCTGTCACCCAGGCTGGAGTGAAGTGGCACCCTCTGGGCTCACTGCAAGCTCCACCTCCCGGGTTCACGCCATTCTCCTGCCTCAGCCTCCCGAGTAGCTAGGACTACAGGTGGCCACCACCTTGCCCGGCTAGTTTTTTTTTTTATATTTTTACTAGAGACGGGGTTTCACCGTGTTAACCAGGATGGTCTCGATCTCCTGATCTCGTGGTCCACCCGCCTCGGCCTCCCAAAGTGCTGGGATTACAGGAGTGAGCCACTGCACCTGGCCACCTCTCACTGAACTTTTAAAAACTGAAGCATGTGTGTAATATGTCTTTTGGGAAAAGCAGAATAAATGTCACTCACTAGAAAAGGGGGTGTGACATAATCATGGACTTTTTAAAAACATACTGCATTGGTTTATCTAAGATAAAGTGTTGTTACATAGGAGTAACTATCTTTGCTCTCCTAAATGGTCAAGATTAATTAGGTATGTTAATTTGTGACAGGGCATACAGGATACAGGACATCTTTGAAGTTCTCTAATTATTGGCAAATTTCAGAATGTGAACACATCATCTCTGTTCTTTGCATTCCTGGATTTCCCTGGTAGAAATTATTTAAATGGTATGAGGACATACTTGTTTGGCATGAGAGTACAAATTTTCTTTATTAGATTTTAAGAAAAAGATTCTTGAATAAAGAAGTATAAGCAAATGATTTGTATGAAAAGAGATCTGTTAATTTAATCTTTATACAGAGGTTACAAACTAGCCACTTGTGGGCTGAATGCTTTGGCACATAGCACGCATGCTTTGTTTATATCACATATTTTGAGCCCACATTGTGTTTCCATAAAAATTGGATTAGCTGTTAACATTTAAAAAGCTAGAATTTGGCTGGGCGCGGTGGCTCACGCCTGTAATCCCAGCACTTTGGGAAGCTGAGGTGGGCGGATCACGAGGTCAGGAGTTCAAGATCAGCCTGGCCAACATGGTGAAACCCTGTCTCTACTAAAAATACAAAAAAAATTAGCCGGGTGTGGTGGCACATGTCTGTAGTCTCAGCTACTTCAGGGAGCTGAGGCAGGAGAATGGCTTAAACCAGGGAGGTGGAGCTTGCAGTGAGCTGAGGTCACACCACTGAACTCCAGCCTGGGGACAGAATGACTCCATTTCAAAAAAAAAAAAAAAAAAAAATCTGGAATTTTAGCTCAAACTCTGGAGTTTTGGTTTCTCTAAAAGAAGTTTTATTTCAGGGATGAACTTTAGATTGGTCATTTTTTCTCTGGTTAAACATGGTCTGTGAGGCTGAATATTGGTTAACATTTATTTCTACATTCAGATGCTGTTTTCTTTGTGATTAAGAGAAAAGCGAGATGTTTTCTTGTCTTATATTTATCTGGCTTTGCCACCTATTAGCTGAATGAACATGGACAAGTTAATAATATTCCCCCTTTACTTGTAATCTTTAAAACTTAGATCGTGCTTGTGTCATAGTTTTGTAAGGATTAGATGAGTTAATGTATACAAAATACTTAGAACAATGCTGGGTCCATAGTAAGCAATATTTAAGTTTAAGCTGCTATTCCTAATATTATATTTGTATCAAAACTGGAAAAATGAAAAATAGGCTGAGTATAGGACATTACTTAAAGAATAATGGCAATGAACATTATTTCTTTGTGGAAATAAAGTTAATATGCAAATTGTACTTATCTTACAAGATTACAGCACCATTTTAAAATGAACTTATTCCATTTCATTCATTTATGTTACCTGGCTGGTTGTGGTGTCCATCTGAATTTGACATTCCTGTTTGAGGGTTTAAATCTATTCAAAGCATCTTTCAGACAGTTTAAAATCTTCAGATGGAAGTAAGGAGAACAAGGAGTTTATTGTATCTTCAATAGGTGAATTTATTTTTAAGGAAAGAATGTTTTAAGTTTAGTTTTTAGAAGAAAGGGGTTCAACAGTTTCTCCCAAATAATCTGGTGTCTTTTTTTTTAATTAAAACTTTAAGGTCATCATGATGTTCTTTTGATATGTTTGGTTTTTTGAAGTTCTTTTGAAAACTTAGGATATGAGAAAATAAATGCAAAACTGATCACTAGAAGTAAAACATAAAATGTACTGGTTTTAAAATAAATGAATTCAAGTATGTAATCTCAAAAATGTATACACACAGAGTATTTAGAAGGTGTGGGAAGATCTACAGTCCTTGAAGAGCCTGTGCAGGAAGATGCAACACAAGAAACACACATTTCATCTCCTGTTGAGTCTCCCACCCAAAAGACCAAAAGTGAGTACCTAATTATAAAGCCCTGGAAACCATACTAGACTTGTATGTACAGTTGTGAAAATTTCAAGTCTAATAGGTTATATCCTATACTCTATATTTCATCCATTTATAAGAGCTTCTGTTACTGGTTAGAGCTTCTCAGCCCTGAGATACAGCAGTGAGCAAAGCAGAAAACCAAGCCTGCTGTAATGAAGTTTATCTGGAGTATATATTTCTTAGATGTGTTTTTTTCTTAAATGTGTTTTTCCCCAGCTTTATTGAGGTACACTTGGCAAATGAAAATTGTATATATTTACAGTGTACAATTTGATATATACTTTGTGGAATAACTGCCAAAATCAACTAATTAACATAGCCATCATCTCATATAGTTTTTTTTGTTTGTTTTTTTGTGGAGAGAACACTTAAGATAACTCTCTTAGTAAGTTTCAGGTATGCAATAGAATATTATTAACTATAGTCACCATGCTGTATTTTAAATCTCCAGAATTTATTAATCCCCCGTAACTGAACCTTAATACCCTTTGATCAACACTTTCTCATCTCCTTCACTCCCCAGCCCCTGGCAATCACCGTTCTACTCTCTGTTTTATGACTTTGACTTTTTTAGATTCCACATGTGAGATCATGCAGTATTTGTCTTTCTGTACCTGGTTCATCTCACTTAGCATAATGCCCTCTAGGTTCATCCATGTTGTTACAAATGGAAAGATCTTCTTCTTTTTAAAGGCTGAATAATAGTCCATTGTTTGTGTAGTATGTATATAAATGTATACACCCACTGCATTTTCTTTATCTATTCATCTCTCAGTGGATTTGTTTTCATGTCTTGGCTGTTCTGAAGAATGCCGTAATGAACAGAAGTATTGGGGGAACCTGATATTTCAACATAGGTTCTTTCTGTTTTCCCTAAGTGTCTGAGAAATAAAGAGAAAGAGTACAAATAGAGGAATTTTACAGCTGAGCTGCCAGGGGTGACATCACATATCGGTAGGTCCATGATGTCCACCTGAACCACAAAACCAGCAAGTTTTTATTAGGGATTTCAAAAGGGGAGGGGGTGGACGAACAGGGAGTAGGTCACAAAGATCACATGCTTCAAAGGGCAAAAGGCAGAGCAAAGATCACATGCTTCAGAGGAAACAGGGCAAGGGAAAAAGCAAAGATCACAAGGCAAAGGGCAAAATTAGAATTACTGATGAGGGTCTATGTTCAGCTGTGCACATATTGTCTTGATAAACATCTTAAACAACAGAAAACAGGGTTCGAGAGCAGAGAACTGGTCTGACCTCAAATTTATCAGGGTGGGATTTTTTCCCCACCCTAATAAGCCTGAGGGTACTGCAGGAGACCAGGGCATATTTCAGTCCTTATCTCAACCGCATAAGACAGACACTCCCAGAGTGGCTGTTTATAGACCTCCCCCCAGGAATGCAATTCTTTTCCTAGGGTCTTAATATTTAAAATCCCTTGCTAGGAAAAGAATTTAGTGATATCTCTCCTACTTGCACATCCATTTATAGGCTCACTGCAAGAAGAAACATATGGCTCTATTTTGCCCGACCCCACAGGCAGTCTGACCTTATGGTTGTCTTCCCTTGTTCCCTAAAATCGCTGTTATTCTGTTGTTTTTCAAGGTGCACTGATTTCATATTGTTCAAACACACATGTTTTACAATCAGTTTGTACAGTTAACACAATAGTGGTCCTGAGGTGACATACATTCTCAGCTTATGAAGATAACAGGATTAAGACATTAAAATAAAGACAGGTATAAGAAATTATAAGAGTATTATTTATAACTGAAAAATATCCATGAAATCTTCACAATTTATGTTCCTCTGCCACGGCTCCAGCTGGTCCCTCCATTTGGGGTCCTTGACTTCCCGCAACACAGAAGGGTGCAGATATCTTTTCATGATACTGGTTTTATTTACTTTGAATAAGCACTCCAAAGTGGGATTACTGAATCATATGGTAATTCTATTTTTAATTTTTTGAGGAATCTCCATACTGTTTTCCATAGTGGCTATACCATTTTACATTCCCACTGACAGCATACAGGCTTCCCTTTCTCCACATCCTCAGTAACACCTCCTATCTTTTGTCTTTTTGAGAATAGCCACTCTAATGGATGTGAGGTGATAACCCATTGTGGCTTTGATTTACATTTCCCTGATAATTAGTGATGTTGAGCACCTTTTCATATATCTTGGGTCATTTATGTGCCTTTTTTTGAAGAAATGTCTATTTGGGTCCTTAGCCCATTTTAAAATTAGGTTATTTGTGTTTTTGCTATTGAGTTATGTGAATTTCTTATGTATTTTGTGCATTAACTGCTTACCAGATCTATGGTTCGCAAATATTTTCTCCCATTCCTTAAGTTATCTTTTTAGTCTGTTGATCATTTCATTTGCAGTGCAGAAGCTTTTTAGTTTGATTCAATCCTGTGTGTTCATTTTTGCTTTTGTTCATATCCAAGAAATCATTGTCCAAACCAATATCAAGTTTTTTCCCTATGTTTTCTTCTAGGAGTTTCATATTTTCAGGTCTTAATGTTCCAGTCTTTATCCCATTTGTGTTGATTTTTACAGAGGGGATGAGATAAGGGTCATATTTCATTCTTTTGCATGTGGACATCCACTTTCCCAACACTATTTATTGAAGAGACTATCTTTTCCACATTTTGTGTTCTTGTAACCCTTGTGAAGAGCTACAGTAATCAAAACAGTATGGTACAGGCATGAAAACAGACGTATACACCAATAAAACAGAATAGAGTCCAGAAATAAATCCATGCATCTATAGTCAGCTGGTCTTAAATATGTTTTTAAGTCAGAATAAAAATATTAAAATCTGGATTGTAACTGCTGGAAATTTTTTTCAGAATAAGTTACAGGTATAAGGTACCTTTCTGAGACTGTTTAGAAATGTGCATATTTTCATGTAATCTACAAAATCTTCATGTTTGACAGATGATGTATATTATTTATATTATTTATCTATTTCTTTTGTGTTTTTACTTTATATCATATACCATAATTCTTAATGTACTGATTACCTATATTATTTGTTTAAATAACTTGTACTATTTCTGTTTATTGAACCTAGGAAGAAGGTTTTCAGCACCTTTTCAAATTTGCTAATGAATTCTGTTAGTGAAGTAAAATACCAATGAAAGATTATGGAAATTAAATCCTATAATAAGTGAAGCTTTGGGAATTGTAATTCTAGATGCTTTTATGTACCATGTATACATAACCTTACAATAATTATTTATATTTTGAAAAAGAATAAAAATAGGCAAAATTATAATCTCTTTTGTCCATTAATAATGTTGTACTAATTATGGTTGAGTACCTTATTTTCAGCAGAACAGTGTCTGACTGCTTAATCTTCCTGCATTTTGAGTTCTATCACCATAGCATTCATATTTTTATTGCTTAACAGTAAGTTTTAACAATAACCTTTCTTGAAACTTCTGAAAAACTTATTCTCATAGGTGAAACCGTCACTGGAGAATTATCAAAACTCTTGGATGAAATAAAACTCTGTCAAGAAAAGGATTATTCGTTTGAAGACTTGTGCCACACAATATCAGACCACTACTTAGATAATTTGAGCAAGATTTCAGAGGAAGAACTTGGGAAAAATGGAAGCCAGAGTGTAGTAAGTAAGGCGGGGGGAAATGAAGACAATGTGTCTGCCTTTTCCAGTTCAGTATGTACACCTAAGAGGCATGGGACATGGCGCATTATCAGATTCCACCACTGTAAGATGTCAGTTTCCTTATTGCACTATTCCTGACGTTCTTTGGGGTTTTACTCTCAGTGCGTGTGTAGGGGAAGGAGTGCTTTGACAGATCACTTGACGATCTCTCTACTTTAGACTCTTTCTTAAACGCATGGATTTTTAGTAGTGTTGTTGTTGTTGTTGTTGTTGTTGTTGTTGTTGTATTCCCTAGTTTTACTGGGCATAATGATGTTGGTTCCCAAAAAAAGACAAAAACCTTCCTTTTGACTGTCTTCCCTGTTTTCTCTATGAACTCAGTCTAACAGAGCAGAGCCACATGTATGGTTTCCTCACTTCCTCCTTAAGTAATAGTAGGAGAGAAATATGGAAAGTTCAGTCTGCATATTTTTATAATATGCAAATCCCAAGAGGTTTCTCTTCAATAAGCTCAGAATCTTAAGCATGAGTTAGTTCCTGTGACAACCCCTTATGATAGTGTTCTTTGAAAATATTGTCATATAAAATATTAAAGGTTATATGAGGCAGAAAAACAGATGATGTAGTCGAGTAAGAGCGAGTATTTCTATTTATTAGGAATAAGAGTTTACAAAGAGGAAAGAGGGGAGATAAGATTAGAAGGATAGATTGAGGTCAGGCCATGGGTGATTCTTGCTCATTTGAATTTTTATATGAACACAATAGCAAGAAAAACTATAGAGAATAAATCAGTTTAATATTAAGATTTGTAAACTTACTTTTTGTCCTGTACAGGAAGGATTTATAGTATATACTGGTATTAAAGGAAATACAATATTCTGATAAGAAATCTTTTGTCACTTTTAGAACTTAATTTGTTACAGATATATCATACTTTATTCAAAAGCCAGTAATAGAGTGAACTGTGTTAAGTATGTCATATTATTTGTGAAAACTAAAAAAAACTTGCTTAGTATAGTGACTGTCCATTACAAGAACATTTACTTAATTTAGTTACTTAAAGTAAGCTGTGACACTGTTTCCTGGGATAGCACTTGCTAATCTAGTTCCATGGCTAGTCCTGCCTCTTAGGCCTGCTTTTTTTGTTTCATTTTGTTTTTGTGCTTCACTTTCTCTTGCAAAAACATCCTATTATTGGCCCCAATAAAAATTCTTTATGAATAACTATGAACAGTTGTATATGTACTAAGGTTTTAAATACCTGTAGGTTTTACCAAATGAAATTTTTATATTAATGAAATATTTATAATAGTAACTTTAATGTTGGGACAAAATCCTCTGTTAAAATATCTGAAACAGGTGTATGCTATCTCTAGATTACCAGTTACATTTTAATATTTCCTTGAAAGTTAGTTAGAAGTTAAAACTTACTTGTTCTATATAAACAATACGTAGTATTTACTTTTTAAGATCCATCCCCAAATATTTATCTAAACTGGTAGCTTCTGGCCTTCTACTTGTAAAACCACAGATATTCTGAAAGCCTAATTTTTTAGACCAGGCTCTCCAGACTTTTTTGTTGTACATACCATTAGTAAACAAATTTTGAGCAAATATCCCTGAGTATTTCTAAATTATGTATGTATATATATATATATAGAGAGAGAGAGAGACTACGTTTCTAGTAATATTTGATGTAACTTATGAGACATACACAACAAAAGAAATTCAAATTGAGGAAGGTAGAGAATAAGTGTAAAACAGAGGCTCTAATTATTTTTCGTTTACTCAATGAATATCTTGTATGTCCTGGAATCTGTATGTGCTGCTTGGAGACCATGATTCAAGCTTCTGTCTTTCAGGAAGTGATGGCAAAGACTTTTGACTTTGAGAGACTGACAATAGTTTGGGGAAAAGATGTTCAAGTTTTTCTGTAAGCCAAAGACTATATTGTGATAGTGGCAAGAAAGAAATTAATACTCATAAATTGAGCGTTAAGGTTTTGAAATCTGAGCTCATACTTTTCTAACACCACTCCTCGTTCCTGTGACAAACCTTCACAATAGTGTTCTTTGAAAATATTTCCCTATAAAATGTTAAAGATTTTGTGAAGGCAGAAAAGCAGATGGTATATATGAGTAAAAGCAAATAATTCTGTTTATTTGGAAGAATAGAGTTTACAAAGGGGAAAGATGAGAGATAAGATTAGAAGTCTAGTTTGAGGTTAGGTGGTGGATGATTTTGAATGTCAGGCTAAGAATTTTAGTATTTATTATTTTAAGAAATGAGAAAAATCTAAAGGATTTTGGGCAGATAAAAGACATAATTGGAACTGACCTTTCAGAAAATGAATCTGATAGAGACCTGTTAACGAATGTTTAAAAAGTAATCAAATTACTTTGACCCTTTTCTGTAGCCTGTGTTTTATTTGAATTCATTCCATGTTTTGTTGAATATTTGTTTCTATTCATCAAAAAAGTTTTTTTTTTCCAGAATATCACTTCAATTATACTCTCACATGATGCAAAAAGTTTAGTCAAGTATAGGTCACCTAATACAGATGGTTCTTATCATGTTTTGAGTTGTGGGGTTTATAATAGACATGGTTCTTCAAGTGATTCAAAACACCTGTCCTAAGGAGACTTCAGTCATAGTGTGCAGACTTTAACTGAAGACTAATATATAAAACACTGAATAAATAAGAACTGACACTCGGTTTTTGCTATTTGCTACTCTAATGCTTTACATGATTTAAGTCACTTACTAAGTAATTCTTACAATATGGATTTAGAAAATGACTTAGCTGCCAAGTGGCAGAGTGAGGATTCAAACTCCGAGCCAATGTTTCTAATTCTCAGCCACATTTCTCATAGTATGCTACCTTGTGGCCAAAGGAATTTTTAAAAGGGAGATATCAGTGAATACTTACAGATATTCATTGAAGTCTTTGTGGAGGTAGGGAGAAACTAAGCTGTGTCTTGGTGAAAGGGGAGCTCTGTTTGTCACTTTAGTTGGAACAAATGATTGAGAAAGGATTCCACCCTGAAGAAACAATATATGCAGAAGCACAGAGGTAAGAATTAGTGCATAATTTGAGAATAATTTACGATGAGAGTTTGTTTTGGAAAGTAGTAGGAAATAAAGTTGGATAAGTAATGATAATGCCTCAATTTGTGGAACACTTGTATTGACTGATTTAACGCTCACAATAACCCTGTGAAAAGGATAGTATTATTTCTATGACTTTCCCAGTTTCACGCAGCAATTATAGAGCCAAGAACACAGACATTCTGGAGCTTGCCACTCAACTTGCCACTCAACTCTATTGTCAGAGAACAAAGGCAGCTAAGTAGATTGGGAGGCTAGTCAGAAGTTTAAAATTGATGCTGAGAATAAACTCTTGAGTAGAAGAGTTCTCCTGAAAGTGACATTTTTGGAAAATAAAAGTGGTAGTTGTATGTTGGTTGATCGGGGAGAGGCTCAAACAATGGTTCTCAGCCATAGTTGTACATTAGATTTACCTAGAGAGGCTCTAAAAAAAATGAATACCGATGCCCTCAGATTCCAGTCCAGACCAACTAAATCAAAATAATTTTGGGTAGCTCTGAGCATTATTCTTGGAAAAGCTTCTCAGGTAATTCTAACATGCATATGATTGGTCTAGGGAGCCAAAAATCAGCCAAGATCTTACTGAGGTAATTCATGTCTGAGATGCTGAGTCAGAACTGAGGTCTTGATAACACCACAAAACAATTTTTTCAGATAGAACAAATCTCGTAGATCTTAATATCCAGTCTACTGCTCCAATTCCCCAGTGTAAGAGCTTCTAAAAGTCTTTTGAATTAGGGATTATTTATGCTATACCAAATTAGCATAGATTGGGTGGCTTGAAAAAAACCCAGCATTTATTTCTCACAGTTCTGGAGTCTGAGAAGCCCAAGATCAAGGTATCCAGTAGAGCTGGCAGCTGGTGAGGGTCTGCCTCCTGGTTTGAAGACGGCTGTCTTCTGGTTGTATGTTCATGTGGCAAAGAACAGAGGGGGAAAAAGCAGGTTCTCCTGATGTGTTTTTTTTTTTTCTTTTCTTTTCTCTTCTTTTTTTTGAGATGGAGTCTTGCTCTATCGCCAGACTGGAGTGCAGCAGCGCGATCTTGGCTCACTGCACTCTGCCTCCTGGGTTCAAGTGGTTCCCCTGCCTCAGCCTCCCGAGTAGCTGGGACTACAGGCACATGCCACCATGCCCAGCTAACTTTTTGTATTTTAGTAGCAAGAGGTTTCACCATGTTGGCCAGGATGGTCTCGATCTCCTGACCTCATGATCCGCCTGCCTTGGACTTCCAAAGTGCTGGAATTACAGGCATGAGCCACTGTGCCTGGCCCTGCTGATGTTTTCTTATATGGACACTAGCACATCATAAGGGGTTATGATCTGATGACCCCCCAACACCCTCTCCCTAATACTATCACATTGGGGGTTAGGATTTCAACATATGAACTTGGAGGGGACACCGACGTGAGGTCCGTAGCAAGGAGGCTTTCAGTTTATCGTTAAGGAAAATCCAAATTGCATTCAAACCACAGTCCTCAATTATAACATTTCTATGTTATATTGGAATATTAAATGTGGAAAACATTTCTGTATGTCTGTTATTTATAATACTAGTTAAATGATGAGCATTTGGGTTCAGTTAAAATTTAATTTCATAGGATATGAAACATCCAACTTATTGTAATATGACAAGTAATTCCAAAAGTTATTTAGGAGAAATAAAAATGTAAGGAAATATGTTTTGTAGCATCCGTATTATTAATTAATGTATTTTACATATTAATGATGTGACTTGAGCTTTGGAAGTATTTTACCTATATTCTTGGTTCAGTTTAACTTTTGTTGCCTCTTTTCTTCCAATAGAGGGCACTCCGATTCAGTAATTTCAAATACAAAACCAGCCATCTTATGTAAGAACTTTTATTTTTGAATCGGAGATTTTTGTTTCTTTT